TACCAGGAACACAAGGGTCCAAACGTTGTCTACTATTGCATCACGGCACGTTCATTCTTGTAAAATGCGATTTTGCTTCGCAATTAACCTCGACCCACAAACCGGCATTGGGGAGCATTTTGCAGATCAACCGTCAACCATGGTTTAATTTATCAGCGGAGTGACATATTTCGCATCAACATCCCCAACCGGGTGCAGCACTTGCATGCGCTCGGTGCGCATCCCTCGGGCCCAGGTGCAATGTGGCGTCCTTTGCTGCCGCACGGCCCAAGTGGTTCGCCGAGGTCGAAAGGCTCCAAAAACAGAATGACCCCAATCCCGACACTGGCAGACTGCAAGGGCATACCGCCTCCAATTTTGATTAATTTTGGGTCTGTCTCGGAGTGATCCATTCTCAGCTATCAAAGTGAAAAGTCGAAACCTCTGTCGAAACTTGACTTTACTTAGTGATTCTTGCACTGTCATGATCCATGATTTGCGCCGGGCAAGAGAGTCAATCATGCCCGGTCACTCATTGAGTGAGCCCTGAACTTTGCAGCCCAGTCACAAATCATGCTGCTCCCACTTAGCCCAAGCTTTGACCCTTAGCGGTCAAGGCTGCTCGCTCAGCCTAAATCTCTTGCAATGCGGTCGTATAATTGCGGCGTCACGGTTGGTCATGGCCTGTCACGGTCCAAAGGAAGTGATAGTGGCCAAGTTCTTTGCCTCTTCAGCGTCCTCCAGAGCTCAAGAGCTCCACTCAGGTCTCCGCAAGCATTTTGCTGGCCTGTCTCTTCCGCGTGATGCGAGTGTGCCGAGGCAAACGCATGTGTGTGTGGTGGTTTCAGCCATAGCTTGGTTTCGAGGTTCTGCAACAAATCTCATTCCTGGCAAGAGGAATCAACAAAAGGGAACATTAAGGTGTAATGGCAGAGATGCAGGCCATGTGTCATCTGACTCTTTCGCCTTTTTGGAGCGAAACCAAGAGGATGTCATCGCTTGTTTGCTATCGGAGGTTTCTATGTCATCATCGACGATTTTTCCTTCAACTTAGTGACCACCTCTGATCTGTGCGTGGCCGAGCAGGACTTCACAGAATACTGATTCAGCCGGGGCCCACGTGAAGGAAAGATCTCGTACGAAGTGCACATGTGGTGATATGTGGATATTTATAGTGCATTTCTCCAAACGTGACGTTCGTCAGGTGATGTGGAACTTGAAGGTGTATGTAAAACAAAATCTGAACAGGCTCAACAGACTCCACAGGGAAAGGAACAATAGATCCTGAAATCCTTCCTTTTGCGTGTGTGTCACGCAGCTTGTGTCAAACATCGACGGTTTGGCCGCACCAGACGGGTGGTCCTCACATGCACGTAGGTCCCCGTTCCCAACGGAGAGCGTATTTTGGTGGGTCTGGAATGGTTTGGAAGTCTCTTGCCATGCATGTCCTGACCCACATGTCTTGCCATGCATGTTTGCATGCATGTCCTGACCCACATGGAATGGAGTTGTTCATCCGTCCGTCACTTCGCCTTCGACGGACTCCGCGATGCGCAGGACTGGAACTTGCTTCAAGCCTTGCTTCGTAGGCCCAGCGCCGGTGGGGGGCGTTGAGCCACTGGGGCGATTTCCTTCAACAGCGCGGCGGCTGGGAATATCGGCTGGTTGGTTGGAAGATGTTGGAAGGGCGTGCTGGGAGAGTGTTTTGGTAGGCCACCCTTGGGTGGGTGGGGCACGATGGTTGGGCTTTGGGGCTGGTGGGAGCGTTGCTTTGTTGGACCCATTGTGGGATATGGCTGGGTTGGGACCCCCGAGGTCACACGGCCTACTAGACTCGGCGTCGTCCTCCAGCTCTATGTGCTCCCTTGTTGACCTATAAACCGCTATCAGTACCGCTATCCACTGCATCCAGAGCCGTCCATCTCTGACATCGATTGATGTCTATCGACCACACATTGAATCAAAGGGAACGTGGTTGAATCGGCTGCAGGAGCTGCCATTCTTTGCAGTACCTCTTCATCGTGTTGCAAAGCACCATTGTCGCCGCCGCTCGGCGGGAGTTTGACACCAGAGCGGAGGAGATATGACTTGATATTACAGTATGCTGATTATCCGTATGTCATCATATGTTTATGTGTATTATATATACTATGTTATTTAGTGTAGTTTGCATATGTTTATATTATATATAGTTACTTGCAGGCAGATTAGATATGAGAGTGTGAACATTCGAGAGAATACCCAGCAGGATAGAACACACGATGAGACTCATGAGACCGTGTACATAACTCTCAATTTATGGGTAGATCAATGGGACAGAATTGATCAGTAGATCTTGGAACTTTTGTGCTGCAGAGGACATTGCCCGCTTTGGCCTACAGAACTTTTCTGCGTTTCCGCCAACAGTATGCTCATTATATCTCCAAGCACAGCTTGTCATTACATACATGACTGCGCTCCACTCAGGTTGACTTCCATGATGTGCATGTCTCCCTGCTGGACATGTGAAGAATGCTTGGGGATTCCTATAGGCTAGTCACTTAGTCTGCCCGATCCATAATTTGGACGCTAGTGACACTGGATGTGTCTCAGGGCTTCCTCCCTCCATGCCACCTGCGTAGGCTAAGACCATAGCGCCTGGCAAGTGACACTTGAGGTCTTGATCTTTGGTGTGGATGACTTCTACCGGCTCTCCAACTTAAGCGACCTCATTTCAGGAGCGATGCCGTCCCCAAACACGAACTGCGCCCATAGAGTCACGTCAGCTGGAGGACAGCAAACAGATATGTACAGCCTCTAGTGCAGCATTTGAGGAGGCGTTGGAGTCTAGAAGCACGATTCTTCTCGGGTGCTGTGACAAAGGCACTCCATGGAGTTATTGAATAGTCCTTTGACTCCGAACCATAACTCTTGGACCCCCAGCCCTTTCGATGAACATCCATTCGTCGCGTTTCGCGTTTTGTTACGTCAACACATACCTCGTGATCGTTCCCCTCAGGCTCAAGGGCAGATGGAAATCTAGGGACGCCAAGTGTGATGAAAACTTAACGATCCCAGCTAGAGTCCCAGCTGCCAAATCAACTTTCGGCAGGCAAGAATAGAAGATGGATGTTGATGGAACTGACTCTTCTTCTTTAAATCCTTAAATTCGCCAGTGCTGACTGTGCTGGCTGGTCTCCTTTTGCACGCCCAGGAGGGCTCGTTTGCATCGGCTTGGCCCAGCTCTTCCTTTGTGCCGCCAGTGTGACCGTCGCTGGGAGAACTGGCCAAGGGTCCCGGGTCCAGGAGGTGACACTGGCCGTGATACTTACAGGGACCCTGTGTTGTTGTTGTTGTTGTTGCTGTTGTTGTTGCTGTTGCTGCTGTTGCTGCTGTTGCTGCTGTTGCTGCTGTTGCTG